TATATATATATATGTATATTACATACATCCAGCCATCCATCCATCCATCCATACCTACATTTATATCTACCTACCTACCTACCTACCTACCTGCCTGCCTGCCTGCCTGCCTGCCTGCCTGCCTGCCTGCCTGCCTATCTACCTACTTACCCATCTACTTACCTACTTACCATGAGGTCATGGACGTCAGCGACGAAGATGATGCGGGACCTTGGGCAGAGGGCGAGAAGAAGGTTCCTGTCTGGGAGCATCGGATGACCTACTGTCCATGCTCTGGGGCTGGATGTACTCCTATTCTGACCTTGCGCCGCGGAACATCGCGCACACCACCACCACCACCACCACCACCACCACCACCACCACCACCACCACCACCACCACCACCGGGGGCCGCGTCCAGGGCCGCCACCACGACTATTACCACTACGTCTCCTGCTGCTGCTAGTACTGCTTACTACTAGCTATCATCATGATTGCTGTGTGTTCGGTGCTTGGGCGCAGGGTTCAGGAGGCCTGAATCCCTTGTAATGTCGCTGGAAGTGTCCGGCGCCAGGTTTCCAAGATCGTGTTCATCGGCAAGGCCGTGCTCGTGCTCGATCCAGCCGCTGTTCATCCAAGCCTCAATCCTCTCGATGAACACCCCGTTACTGTAACGGCTTGAGACCTGCATGCGCAACGAAGTTGCACCTCGCAGTGTGCAGCTCTCTGTATCTATTCCACCTGTTCAGTCGATGGACCAGAAGTTTCTTCGAGAAGGCTTCCACGCACCTCGGTTGCACAGTGTCAGTGGAAGCACGAGCGAATAAAGGCATGGCTTGCAGCAGGAAATGCAGGCATCTTCATGTTTCTGTGCACACGCTGGCCTCAGGCAATTTTTGAGGAGTGAGAGTCATCAGTTTGGCAACTACTTAGCAGTACAGTTTCAGTTTTTGCTCCGGCACGGTGCTTGAGGAATTATTGAACCTGTGCAGTTAGATCTGACAATGGCAGTGGCACACAGAAGTTCGGGCCGAAGCAAGCTGCCAGCACAAGGACTGGGCGCCATGAGGGGTTTTTGTTCACTGGGCGCTGTCTGTGTTTGCAAGCAGGAGTAGCTACGAGTCCTAGTCAAGAAAGCTGTTGAAGCACTGCCCATGCACTAATTGAGGGTGGTGTACAAACACCGCCCTCTCGTGTTTGCTGCAGGGCGAGCCTTGTTAACGGACAGCAAGTGCTGAGTGCTCTGCCATGAGCGGGCTCAGACCTGCCAAAGACCGACTAGACCCTGACTCTCGCTGACAACGACTCTGCAGCGGCATTTCGGGCTTCGGGTTTGGGGGTGAAGGGTTGTGGGGGGGCGGCCCTAAACCCTAAACCCTA